GGTCCTGACGCCCCAAGTTGATCCATATTCCTTTGTTTTCCAGTTTCATATCCTACCCAAATGCGATCTATTTACGTTGGTGTCCCACTACTTACGAAACGTAATGCCAAAATGTAGTTCTGTTATATTCTGTTCCACTTCGACTTCATTTCGGTGGCGGTCACGTGATTTGCTTTGCATATTTGAAATCGTTTTACGGTAAGGTGTTTACCTGGTCAGTACATTCTACAATGGTATGGTACTTGCTCATTCACATCGTAATGACAACTGGCCGTCCAGTACATTTGAATATGTTATAGTTGTGTCAAGGATATTCGTGATGCTGTGAACCTAAAAGGAGATATAACGACCCGTGGAAATGACGTCTATCTGTACCCACAAAATTACCTCCATCTGGTGACGCTAATGGTTTGTGTACAGTGTGTGTATTATTATTTTATGCCAAAACTAAAATATTAACATTAAAAAAAATCGGTATCGGTAAGTGTCCAAACTGAATTGATGACACTTGACACTGACCGAAGCATTCTGTGATACCACGCTAATTATGAAAGTAGTCGATGTAAAACAGGATCTTTCAAAGTTTTACTCATTTCTCCGATTGGTCTTCTTACTCACGATCCTTAAATTAATTTAGATTATATTATATATATATATATATAACAAATATACTAAATATTAAAATGATGTTGCATAATGAACGAACTCCATTGTTAATAGGATTTGCGTGTGTTTCATTTTATTGTAAAATTTTAAATTATTAATATATTTATTTTCACGACTACCCTGACTCTCGGTAATCCTCTTGGAAATCATGATCCACAGGCTATGAAACGCTAATCTAGAGGAAGGTTTCAGGTTTTTTTTTGTGGATTACTGCAAAGGTCAAGTTTAGTGAGAGCATTTTCTTGACATTTTTCATCCATTGGTTCGGTTCTTTTGTTTTATTATGAGTTCAAAATAATTAATTCTCCAGTAAACAGGTCAGTGCATGGTTTAGGTCATTTGTTTTAGGATGAGTTCAGAAGAATTAATTCTCCAGTAAACAGGTTCATTGTATGGTTTAGGTCATTTGTTTTAGTATGAAGAAGAATTAATTCTCCAGTAAACAGGTTAGTGTATGGTTTAGGTTGTTTGTTAAGTATGAATTCATGTGTTTCCTAGTACACAGGTCAAAGTTGATAAGGTCATAGATGGCAAGATATATTATTTTTGAGTGAGTCGAGTTGAAAAATAGATTTCCACAATAAACTACTTCAAATCAGGTAAAACCTAAACCAAAACAAGCCATAGTAATTTTAGTTTAAAGATTAATTTTAGCTTCATTATGTTTTACTTCAATGACTTATGGAAACATAATTTTTTTTTTGCTAGTAAATGTTGCTGTTTGTGACATTTTTTTATGCCTTCCGTCCTTTTAGTGGTACAGTATATCACGTTAAGCTCATCTCCAACTCTTACATGGGTAAACGTACGTCTAACCTATATCTATCTTTAAAACATATCTTTGAACATTATTAGGCACTCAATGCTGACATAATCATTAATAAGTCTAAACTTTATTTACGATAAATTATGCTATTTTTACAATTATTATAGAAGGTAAACTTTACGCTACAATTACCATCAGATCTGAAGAACCCCTAATGATTAAATAAAAAGTCCCCCGGTTGGACAGCGGTAAGTTTACGGACTTACAGCGCTAAAATTCAGGGTTCGATTCCCCGCGGTAGAAACAGTAGACAGCCCAGTGTGGCTTTGCTATAAACAAACACTTGAATAAAAGTGTTTTTATTTCGTTAATTTAAAAAATGAAAATGTTTTGTTTATGATGCTCCACAAAGTTTTATTTTGTATAAAAAATTGTTCATTTGTCTGTTTGAAGTTAAGCACAAAGCTACACAGTGGGCTATCTGTGCTCTGCCCACCACGGGTATCGAAACCCGGTTTCTAGCGTTGTATGTCTGCAGACATACTGCCGTGCCACTGGGCATTTAAAAAAAAATCGAAACGACGAAGAAATGGTAGCAGTAATAATGACAATGGTACCAGAAAAAAGTGCACAGTTTTTCCCACAGAACAAAACAAAGAAACCCACACAAAATTGTATGTTTATAATTTTTACGACGTAATACTTTCTTTCCACTACGAGTTATTTCAATTTGTTTCTGATAATCGCGCAAAGCTACAAAAGGGTTACCTGTGCTCCTAATTCTTGATCAGATATACTAGAGGGTGTGAACAGCACCCACTGCTATATCTTGGGCTTCTTTAATCGAATAGTGGGATTTGACTATTACTTTTATAACACACACGGCCTATGTGTGGAGCGCAAAGTTTCATTGGTGGTAACGGAGCGTGAACCATGGACTCATAATTACCAAACACCCTTAGTAGCACCCTATACTCACAACCTAGTCAAGTTTCACTTGGCGTGCAGTAACGAGTTTCAGCTTGTTATCATTACATATATTTTTACTTAAATATAACTTTGTCATTTTTTACTTGTCATTAGAGCTGCTAAGATATAAAAAAATCGTTTAATTTTTTTTATGTGGTATTTGTTTCTCAAAGTAGTCGTTGAAACTTTCGCTGCGTAACCAGGAGATTGCTAGAAGACAAACTTTTATAAAAAAAAATACATCTTTTATAAGCAACTAGCTGGACCCGTGGAATTTCCACGGGTGTTGACAACTAAGATGTCATCATTACTCTCGCATATATATTTCTGCAATTAAAGTTGTAATGACATTGTAATGATATACATATTTTCCTGGAAGCAACTTGAAGATTTATTTAATAATTTTTTTCTTATTTGTATATTTTTTAATTAAAATTAGTTGTTGAGCCAAAATAGTTTCATTTACCTTTGTATGTTATTATAGTT